GCGGTGTGTAGGAAGGGGCTCGGGGCAAGGGGTTGGGGTAGAGGAGGGGTGTGGGGTGTACAAGGGAGCTCAGGGAAGGGGGTTGGGGTGAGGGAGGGGGCTCAGGGCAGGGGTGCAGGGAGGAGTGCAGGAGGGGACTCAGGGCAGAGGGTTGGGGTGCAGGAGGGGGCTCAGGGCAGGGAGTTGGGGTGCGGTGTGCAGAAAGGGTTCGGGGTGCAGGCTCCGGACTGGCGCTGCTTACCTGGAGTGGCTCCGGGGTGGCAGCGGCACGCACCGGGGCCAGGGCAGGCTCTCCCTGGCCCTGCGCTGCTCCCAGAAGCGGCTGGCACCACATCCCTGCAGCCCCTGGGGGACGGGGGGACAGAGGGCTCCACGCGCTGCCCTCGCCTGTGGATACGTCCCCCGAAGCTCCCATTGGCCGCGGTTCCCCGTTCCTGGCCAATGGGAGCTGCGGGGGGCAGTGTGTGCAGGTGAGGGCAGCACACAGAGCCCTCTGCTCCCCCTCCCACAGGGGCCACAGAAACATGGTGCCGGCTGCTTCTAGGAGTGGCGCGGGGCCAGGATAGGCAGGGAGCCGTGACGGGCCAGATCCGGCCCATGGGCCGTAGTTTGCCCACCCCTGGTCTTGGGTCTTATTTTGATTCTTACAATAACTTCCAGATCATTAAGAATTTGATATCTTTAGATTTAATGGAGCAGATGAGAAAATTTTATTACTAATAACTTCTCAGATTTATGCATCATCTAACCCTGGAAATATTTATATGGTGAGAAGACACTAGAGATGTTTTACTATTTTCATTATCTCAGAAAATGGCAAAGTTTCATCTTTTAAGTAAGAACAACTGTTTTTGATGGGATAACTCCAGACCACACTTAATGATTTCCCAGGCTCCAGTTACCCAGAGGTTCCAAATTTGAACTATTGGAAGTTGATATTGATTCCTTAACATTTTACTATCAAATCTCAAGATATTCAGTTTGATGTTTTACTATTTAAAAGAGGAAAATGCACAAATCTAATTTGCTGTGCTGGTGCATCTTTTTCTTTTTAAAGGATAAAATACATGCTTGGGCTTTTTGTGTTTAGGATTAAATATCTATCTATCTATATCTATGTATAGTGTGTGTGTGTGTATATATATATATAGAGAGAGAGAGAGAGAATGTGTACGCATGTGTGAATGCACATATCCCTACCACTCAGTATTTAACAGTATTCTTCATTTGCTGTAATCGTTTGTTTTTCAGAAATTTTAATAATAAATTGCAAATACAAAATAGGCATTTGCTTTAAAATGAAAATAGTCAACCCAATAAAATTATTAAAAATAACAAAATTTCCCATAGCATTTGATTGTAGCTTGAATGCCCATTGGAAAGTTAGTTTTCAGACTCTGGTTAAGATCCATGTTTAAACTAGTATTGGCTCTGGCTTCCAAATTTCACTGTTGTTTTTCTTTACATACACGTATACTGAGAGAGTTATGCCTTGGTTATATACAGAGTTGGCCCAGTTTAACCTGAAGTCATTTTAAAAACTGATTTAGTTAAATTGGTGTAAAACAGTGTGGACATTCTTTAATTCAGTTTAATTTATATTACTCTTATATTTAAATTTATATTAATAGCTTAAATCAATTCAATGCTAAATTAAGTTAAATGCGTATAAGCCAGGTTTATGATTAAGAGTGTTTATTCGCAAAAAGAACAGGAGTACTTGTGGCACCTTAGAGACTAACAAATTTATTAGAGCATAAGCTTTCGTGGGCTACAGCCCACTTCTTCGGATGCATATAGAATGGAACATATATTGAGGAGATATATATACACACATACAGAGAGCATGAACAGGTGGGAGTTGTCTTACCAACTCTGAGAGGCCAATTAAGTAAGAGGGGAAAAAAAAAACTTTTTGAAGTGATAATCAAGATAGCCCAGTACAGACAGTTTGATAAGAAGTGTGAGAATACTTACAAGGGGAGATAGAGTCAATGTTTGTAATGGCTCAGCCATTCCCAGTCCTTATTCAATCCTAAACTGATTGTATCTAGTTTGCATATCAATTCCAGCTCAGCAGTCTCTCGCTGGAGTCTGTTTTTGAAGTTTTTCTGTTGTAAAATAGCCACCCGCAGGTCTGTCATTGAATGACCAGACAGGTTAAAGTGTTCTCCCAGTGTTTATTCGGCAGTTTATAGGTTAAACTGGTTCAACTTTGAATATAGATAAGGCCTAACATATAGATGGCACAGTCTTGCCTTGCTATTTGGAACCATGGAAGTGGGGATAGCAGAGCAGTGCTGCCCACAGAAAGAGTCCCACAGCCATCTATTATTTATTTCTTTATATTGCAGTGGTACCCAGAGATCCCAATCAGAATTGAGGCTCTGCTGTGCCGGGAACTGTACAAACATACAAAGACATGGCCCATATTTTGAAGAATTTATAATCTAAACTGCAATCTGATTCAGGGGAGGTTTGTACATTGAGACTATGCCTTTGCTTCAGAGTTAACTTGGGCTGTTTCTTGGTTGTTGTCCCTAACTCCTCTCCAGTCCACACGCACAAACCTCTCCTGAATTTGGTGGTGCTTTAAACCCAAGCTAGCTGGCCCAGCTGGTGATGTAGGCTAGAGCTCCGGTACTGCTTTCGTACTGCTTTCGCTCAAGCTAGTAACCCCGCACACTTTGCACTGAATATGCAGGTTAAATCACTCAAGTGCTGATAATCCTCCAGTGCTTTCCCACAATCCCTCCATGTACTCAGAGAGACAGACAAGTTCTGTCTCAATTCACAAGGAAGGAATCATAGAGCAACTCAGCTTACCACAGGAGATATGCCCCCAGAAGTCCTAGCCCCACACACTGGTGAGTGCAGCACCAGAGAGGACACAGTAACTTGGGTACAACTTCGCAGTATGGCTGCTCACACATGTGTTAGGCTAACACAGGGATCTCAAACATGCGGCTGGCCCATGGAGTTATTTGCTGCGGCCCACCAAGCTCCCCACCCGGCCCACCCTCCTGGAGTTATTTCCTGCGGGTGCCAAGCTCCCCTCACCCGCAGCGTGTCGCGTTCCCACTCCTCTGCCTACCTTCAGGCGCTTCCCAACGGCGGCGCTTAGCGCTTTCCAGGAGGGAGGGGGAGGAGCGGGTAGCCACATGCTCAGGGGAGGAGGCGGAGAAGAGGCGGGGCAAGGGTGGGGATTTGGGGAAGGGGTTGGAATAGGGGCAGGGAGGGGGCGGAGTTGGGGTGGGGACTTTGGGGAAGGGATTGGAATGGGAGCAGGGAAGGGGTGTGAAGAGGCGGAGCAGGGGTGAGGCCTCATGGAAGGGGAGGAGTGGGGGTGGGGCCGGAGGGGGGACTTTTGTATCTTTATATGAAAAGGTGTCAGTGATGCGGCCCTCGGGCCAATGTACTAGTCCTCATGTAGCCCTTGTGGTGATTTGAGTTTGAGATCCCTGGGCTAACACATGTGATTGGCACATGGGTCTGGGCACTTGAATTACATCTGCAATGAAGACACATCCTGAGTTATACTTTATGAACTTGAATGGTATCACCCCTTGCTACTTCTGTACACTGCAACATATGTGCTATGGACAGGAGGACTGGCTATATGCCCATAAAGTGCCAGATTTGATTGTAAGCCATTTGAGGTAAAGACCATATCTATCTTCCATGAAATGTCTAGCACACTTTTGGGGGATAGTAAATAATTATAGTATGCAGCCCTATAAGGTTGTGGTCTAGTGTCCAGACTGAAAACCACTCTGTCACTCTAGCACTTTGAGTGCTGAATTGCTGGGTGGGGGAGCAGTAATAACGGTGGTTACTCTTTCTTTCTCCATCTAGTATGCCCCGTAACAGAGGTCAGAATTTTACTCCCAAAACATTGAACCAAAATAAAAGTAATTGGGTAAATAATCTTCAGTTCTTCAGTAGAATACATGGAATACTATTCAGCATTTTATTCTGGGCCAAGTTTTTCCTAAGATTTCCTCTCTTTTTAAATATTAGCATGAGCTAAAAGATAATTTAAGGAATTTTCTGGGGAATGTGCCGCTTTCTGTACCCTGCGCAAATTGCCTGAGTCTTCTCTTTGGTCACTGCGTGTGTGTGATCTAATCTGTCGTGTGCATACACTACTCCATTACTATACAATAACTAATGATATACATTTTTTGTGGATCTAAAGTGTGTACACATGGTAGTGTGACAGCAGTACAGTATATTGCAGGTGAACTGTTCTATTGATCAGCTTGTCCTAAATTCATGAGTGCGAGGACATCGTGTGAAACAGCATTGACACATATTGTATAAACTTTGACTCAAGAGTGATCAACATATTTTCAGGGTTTCTGTCCACATGTTGTTGTATTATTAACACTAAAGCCAAACATCTCAAAGTGATTTCCCCAGAACCCTCGCCATCTGCCAACTCTAAGACAGAAGTGTATATTTCTTGAAAATAATTCCAAGAGGTTTCTCATGGAAGGACTGACCAACCCTGTTCTAATAACTAGAAATAACTGATAGGCTGTCTCCACTGCTGGAATTTTAGGGTGCATAAGTACTTCAAAGAAATGATTCAGTAATTCTACATGACTTTTTCACTCCTCTGGGGTAAGATGTCATTTTCCATAAAGCCAGTTAAATTCTATGAATATTCTCATTTTTTTTTCTGGTAACGTTGTAAACCAGGTCCGCAGGCTTATGTGTTCGTCTTCAAGCCAAGTTAAAAGTTAGCTTAAAATTTTATTTAATTTTTTTGTGTGTTTACAAGCCCCCAAACTTGGCAAACTCCCCAGCACATGAGCATAGACTATCAGTTCTTTCTGCCTTTCTAATTTTTTGTTTTAGTTTGAACTGCTACTTTGCTCTGTTTGGCATCTTCTGCTGAGTGTCGGCACAAAACCTCTTTGGACATAAAACGTTAATTGGCTTTCTTAAAGGAAAATTCCTCTTTCTGTTTTTCTCCCTTTACCCTTGTCTTTCAGTTATGCCTGCCGCCACTTGCGGAGATATGTATATGTCTTGGACAAACTGTATTTCCCTCACTCTCACTGCTCTACGCTGCAGCATTGCTTCTCGACCCTCAGTGACAATGGAGAGGAACTTTTGTCTTTAACTTGTTCTCACATTCTCAGATCCTATGCTTCCAGGTTATTAACCTCTGCTCTGCATTTATTGCATGCTGCATGCTGTGTGTGACTGATCTTTTGCATGCTTAAGTGAACGATGTAAAACATGAAATGGTCAAGGGGGTTATTTGTATCTTTAATATCATACAACTAATGGCATCCTAAATATGTGTCATAACAAGTGTGGTATAAATAGAGGACCTACGGTTGTTTTGTGGTACACAACAAAGTGTCTGTCACCATAAGTCAAGCACAAGCTTCCATAAGTTGTGTGTAGCCTTTGGAAGCTTTAGATTTTTACATTAGATATAAATTATGTTAATATTCTTCCAGAACTTCATAATATTTAAAATATAAGGCTATAATATTCAAGCTACTGCATAATTATGTATTTGCTTTGCACTGCAGAGCTGGTAAAGCGATGCATCTGTCTTAAATACAAGCCTGAGTCCTGTTGTTGCAGATATTCTGTACAGCAATGTTGGTTTAGGGAATGGAGATAGAGCCTTCTCTCTTTTCTTGCACCTTACTTCATTTCAGTTTCATGATCGCTCATACCTGAGAGCTGCCATTTTTTGACATATCGTCGTAGACTAGATTAGACATAATGGGGAGAGTAATGAATAGCCATCAATCCCAAATAACAATAGAAAGTCACCATCTTTAGTCCAGAATTGTTAGATCATATATAAAAACAGTAAAATAGAAAGAAATGTTTTAAAATCTCTACTAGGAAGGACAAAACATAAGGTTTTTTTTTTTTAAATAAAAATAATTCTAAACATAGTATTCTGTTGACTAGGTTGATAATTTAATGTATTATCCAAGATGCCAAGAGTTTTTAGGAAAACAAGGAAAAAATTGCATGACAAAATTGACCAGAACATGGAAAGAATCCAGAATGGAAATGCAGCTTCCCAGCAAAGCAAGCATACAATAGCAACAGACCACACAGTAAACATAAGTAAAACCAGCTTGATTATCAAGGGAAGAAGAAACTGTGGCATGCAAGTTGAAATAGCTCTGTTTGTATGAATTTTATAGTAGTCCATAATGATGGGGAATTATGCCAAAGTATCCTAACAGGCAATGAAAATCTAGCTATCCCAGAAGCAATCACCAACTAATTAGGAAGAGAAGACACTATTTTAAAAAAATGTAAAGAATACAAAGGCATTGCTTAAAAGTAATAGTAATAATAATGAAGAAAAATTCACAGGCTAAATGTTATGCTGTGCTAGAGACTGAAATCCTATACACATAATGACATGGTTTAATATAAAATTATTCTGTGTATTCATTTGTTAGTTAGATATCTGTATTATTAATAAATATATGTATTGTGGTAGTGCCCAAATGACCCATTTTGGCTTGAGGCCCCTGACTATAGTTTATGAACTAAAATGCTAATTAATCTGCAGAACTCTAGAAAATCTATTAAAATGGATATTGTTGAGCCAAATTTTATTTAGTTGCATTAGTATTAATACAGAATAACTGAACATGCTTATACCCATTCTGTATAACACTTGGGCTGCCCTGAACAGCAATTATGTCACAGGTGGATACTTTTGATGCTCGTGTAAGTGAAGAACTAGTAACATCATTGGCTGGAGCCATGCATCAAATAGGCAGGTTCTGTGCATCCTCCTTTCAAAGGTTTTCCAAAGCACTTCAGTCCTGAATTCCTTTGTCCCTGCTCTTCTAAACTGGGGCTTCTCCTAAGACCATGCCAATTTGTATGTTGGTTTTATGATATGGACAAATACTAACATCCCCAAAGTCGTTTGTGTTAGTAACAGAAGGGTCTGAACCCAAGTTTCTAGAGCAAAAGAAGAGAGCTCACTGATCACTATGGTACTTAGTCTCCACAGTAAAGCTGAAAATGAACCAAACATCCATAAAGACATAAAGGTGGAAAGTGTTAAATAACTGTGTCAGGATTATTGAAGTACCACACAGCAAACTGCTTAGTTTCAAATATTCTGGTCTTACATATTATATTTTCATGGGTCTCACTGACAACAGCACTGGAATCGATTCTTGACAGTGCCCTGTCCTTGCTTATGCATGCATGTATCATCATGATGCTAGCACTAATACTGAGATATTGTTCTTGTCTGTCTATAGGAGCTCTGCCAGAGGGTTACAACTTGGAAATATCCAAGTGGAATCAGAGATTACTGCAGCAGTGGTTTAGGCAGAGTGGTGGGCAGTTCTGTCCCCACTTACCACAAAGTGTGTTTGTTTTTTAGGGCTTTGGGTATATTTATTAAGTGTTAGTTTTAAATTAAATGTAAGGAACCACTAAAAAACAAAGAAATTAGTTTGTTCCACCTGGAGATAGAATTCCTCACCTCTAATCCCAAGCTACTACTGCAACTACTTAGTACCATAGGGATATTTCCAAGACTCCTGCAACTAAGATGCAGGGGCAGGAAGATTAGTTACGCTTGTGCTGGCAATTACGGTGATGGGTAGAAGAGTGGAACGCACACCCAATAGAAAGTGCTCAGATAATACAGTGGTGTGGGGCAATATAAAAACCTATATAGAATAGAAAGAACCTTTCAGTCAGCACTCAGCACAATTGTAAAGCTCTTCTAAAATGGTGCAGTCAAAATGATCCAACACTGAGTGCTGGAATCGTGAAAATCATCAGTGGTTCTATCCAGTAACTATACTTATGAATTACAGTGTGTTGGGAAGGCCAAAAAAATCTTGCGTTTTGTTTACAAAATGTGTGCACTTTTTTCCCTTCCAAACATATGTTCTTGAAAATAAATAAATACAAAAAGTGACAACAGCTCAGCATTTAAAATAGCTTTACAATAACAAAGCATGTAATTATGGATAGTGGAAGGAAACAGCTTTGGTATTGGAATATTGTAAATAACGAATACATTTTTATAAACTTGACATTATTCTTTTATGAAATGTGACTTGTACACCAGTTGAGAGGTATCAGAATATATCAGCCCAACAAGTTCTGAGAATTTGGTTTTCAGTTTAAAAAGCTATCTTTTTACAAGACAGACGGGGGTTGTTAAAACCAAATACTTCAAATAAAGAACACTGCTCATGAAAATATTCAACTGCCTTTTTTGTGCTAGCTGTTCCTTTTTTATATGGATAATTAATGATTTGGGAATGGAAACACCAACCAGTATGTGTTGCTGTTCTCAGCTAAAAGTAAAACTCTATAAATCTGTAGATAAAAAAATCAAATTCTATGTGTTGGTATAAAAGGAGTTGGTGAAAAGCATCTAAAACGTAGGTGTTCTTACCAACAGTGTGGGTTCATGCACACATTCTGTACCAACATTACTGTAGTATTCATTATCAATAACTTGATCCTATCTTAGAGGTTGCAAATATTATTTATATTCCAAAAATCAGAAGTGAGCACGGAAAGCAATGTAGTACACCAGTTCATTAATGCTGAGCCCAGCAAAACTCCCACTGCGCTGTAGTACAGTTCCTGCTGCGCTACAGCACTGTGGTCCTCATTCCAGCAAAACTCCCACTGAAATATGTGGGACTTTTCCCTGAGTAAGGACAATAGAATCAGTCTCCAAAAACTGTACAAATAGTGTGTTAATCTTCTGAAGCCATGTATCTGCTCCTGTGAGGTGTTGTTCCCCTCCATAGCACCACATGGGATCAGGCATTTTATTTGCATATGTACTGTGAAGAGTAATACCATTTTAATTTTTAAAAAATGGAGGGGAGAGAGAGCATACGGTCAGAGAAAAAAGGAGAGGGAGAAGGAAGGGCATCAGGGAACCTTTAGAGGTGACAGAGTTAAGAAAAATTAACACAGTTCATGGCTGCTCTTATTCATTGCAAGTTATATTTAATTTTTTTTAAATGTACTTTAGTTGGTGGCTGTTGAACACTATTTTCACATTTTGAGACAGGTGACTTGTAAAAGCTTCTGGTGACCGGTTGTTTCTTGGATCTGTAAACATGTTTATACCACATTTGTTGAACAACAAACACTGGTTAAAATTAATGGGCTTTTAAAAGAAGAAAAGGTGGGGATGGATGTATTTGGTTATCACTTGTATTGCCTGAGCACGATCAGCCTGTGGTACTTGGTCTCGAGGCACTTAAAAAGGAGAATGCAGTTTCGGCTCTGTATTAATGACAGTGTCACTCTGGTGACTTGTGGGGATACGCATATTGGGGTTTTTATTATACCATACATTCGTGTAGAATAAATACTTGAAGCTGGGATCATAGTCTTTAGATTTGTTTGATACTGTCTTAATAATTCTGTTGTGGCTGTACTATTTATTGATTTCCATGGTATTTCTAACTCATGAAATGAAATGTATTATCCCACTTCAACCATTATGGTTTCCTTTTGGATTACATATTCATTGTGTGATGTTCTATTAGTCATGTATACTTCACTTTCTATTTCAAACCTCTTTGAGCTACAGTCAACCCTAGAGAATAACTCTAGAAAATGAAACAGACTCCTTGATGTATGTATTAGCAAAAGGCAGCTAACAAGATAATGGTTTTGGGGATGCTAAACAAATTAAGGACAGTTTTATTTTCTGTGTGGGAGGAAGGGAGAGAGAGAAAACGAACAGGAAATAGGTTTTTGATGAGCCTGGTAAACTGAGTAAGCAAATTCATGAAGTAATAGAGCAGCAGTTCTCAAACTGTGGGTTGGGACCCCAAAGTGGGTCACAATCCAATTTTAATAGGGTTGTCTGGACTGGTGTTAGACTCGCTGGGGCTGAAGCTGAAGCAGAAGCCCAAGCCTCGCCACCAGGGGGCTGAAGCTGAAGCCCAAGGGCTTCAGCCAGGGACAGCGGGGCTCAGGCTGCGGCTTCCGCCTGGCACGGAGATAGTGGTGTGTAATAATCTTTGTTGTCAAAGGGGGTCATGGTGCAATGAAGTTTGAGAACCGCTGTAATAGAGTGAAAGAAAAAATTACTGGGATTTATTTCAATTGAGCTTTTGCTAGAGGAAGAAAAGAAAAGGAATATGTCAAAATTTTAGTC